TGGGCACACCTGGGCTCGTGTTCAGCACCCCCAGGTCCTTTTCCAGCTTTCCAGACCCCATCCTGGAATGTTCCATGGGGCTGTGGTGACCCGAGGGCAGTGATGTCCAGGCTGAGTGGCTGCTGAGGGACTCAGCTGGTGCTTCCCAACATGGAAAACCATGATGGAGCTGGAGAAGCACCAGAGGGTCTCTTTGCTTGGAACCTGCTGCTCCATCTCCTGGCCTGTTGCCCACAGCTCCTGGAAACCAAGTCGACAGACCGGAAGCAGACGCTGCTGCACTACATCTCCAACGTGGTCAAGGAGAAGTACCAGCACGTGTCCCTCTTCTACAACGAGCTGCACTACGTGGAGAAGGCAGCAGCAGGTACTGTGACCCTCCCTCGGCCTCCTCCACCCCCCAGGGGTGGCTATTCCAGGCAGGGAGCCCCCTGGGCTGTGGGTTGCAGCCTCTGTCCCGTTCCCAGTGTCCCTGGAGAACGTGCTGTTGGACGTGAAGGAGCTGCAGCGGGGCCTGGAGCTGACGAAGCGCGAGTACACCATGCACGACCACAACACCATGCTCAAGGACTTCATCCAGAACAACGAGGGCAAGCTCAAGAAGCTGCAGGACGACGCCAAAATAGCCCAGGTACCCCTCATTCCTCGGGGTTTGGCAGGAGGGTGTGGGCTCTCCCCACAGGATGTGCTCTGTATCCCTGGAATGCACAGTGGGGCTGGGGAGGTGACCTGGGGCAGTGCAGTAAATCTGTGCCTGTTGCAGGATGCCTTTGATGATGCTGTGAAGTACTTTGGGGAGAATCCCAAGACAACTCCCCCCTCAGTCTTTTTCCCAGTGTTTGTCCGGTTTGTGAAGGCCTACAAGGTAAGCAGGAGCTTCCTTCTCCTCCTCTTCCTCCTCTCCTTCTCCTCCTCCTTTCTCCTCCTTTTTCCTCCCCCTTTTCCCCTTTCCCCCTTCCCTTTTTCTTCTGCTCCTCCTCCTCCTCCTCCTCTTCCCCTCCCCTGCCCTCCCCTCAGTAGCACCTGCCAACATTCCTCCCTGGCACTGTTTAGGATCCCAGTCTCCCCTGGAAGCTCTAACCTCTGGTTTTTTTCCCATAAATAGCAAGCAGAAGAAGAGAATGAGCTGAGGAAAAAGCAGGAACAGGCCTTAATGGAAAAACTCATGGAGCAGGAAGCGTTGATGGAGCAGCAGGACCAAAAGGTATGGCCCAGATCCACCTCCCAGGTGGGATCATGTTCCTGGTGCTTCAGAAACCTCCACTCTGGAGGGGGGGAGGAATTCAGTTGCCCAACTTGTAGTTGCCTGGAAATAGTCTCTGGAAGTTTCCTCCTTATGTGGAAAGAGCTGGGATAAGCTGGAAAAGTTTTTGCTTCTACTGCTTTGGAAGTCTGAAAAATTAAGGAAAACTAAGTGGAAAGTTGTCTTTTCCACGTGTCCAGGAGTTAAAAGTTCTCCTTCTCTGACCTCTCCCTGGGATGTGAGTCACTAGTAGACACATGAGGGTGTTCCAGCCTTGGAAAATGGGGGGAAAAGGGGCAGTTCCTGTGTGCTGGTTGGCACCCAGTCGGTGTGTGAGGTTGGGGCAGAGGCAGGAGAGCAGGAGGTCCGTCCCTCCAACCCCTCTCCTCGTTTGCAGTCCCCCTCCCACAAGACGAAGCGGCAGCAGCAGGAGCTGATCGCGGAGCTGCGGCGGCGGCAGGTCAAGGACAACCGGCACGTGTACGAGGGCAAGGACGGGGCCATCGAGGACATCATCACAGGTAACCCTCCTCCCAGGGGATCCAGGGCTCTCCCACAGGGAACAGCTCTGGGAGCTGCCCAGGGGCTGCTGCAAGGGCTGCGTGTCCTCCTCGAAGCCGCAGCAGAGCTGAGGGTGTTGGTTCCTGAAGGCTCTGCTCGGTGTCTTAGTCCTTCTCCTCCAGCTGTGGGGACATTCCCGGGGCTTTAGAGCAGCCAGGGAGTGCCTGATCCCAGAGTTCTCTCACTGGGATGCGCTTGCCCTGCAGATCTGTCCCAGAACCCTTTTTCCCCCCAGATGACGGGTGTTTAACGTGATGAGGAGCCTCCACTTTCAGGCAAATGTTCTAACAGGGACTGCAGAGTTACAGCAAATCACTTGATCAAACCAGGGATCCATGACCCCACACTGCTCCTGTTCCCTGCTCAGGCAGAGTCTGGGCTGGTCCCTGAGGGAGGGACACACCCCCTGGTGCAGCCAGGCACAGGCAGGACTTGGGTGCCACTATTTGCCAATAGAAAAAACCACCTAAAACTGCATTTTGCTGGGGAATTAAACCATTTTTAACCAGTCCAGTTGCTCTGATTTGGCAGTACTTGGAGTTTTCTGCACGTTGTGCACAAGGAACACGATTTAACACTTCAATAACTCTACAATCCTGTGTTTCCTTGCACAGAAACTCAAAAAAGGTCTTTTCCTACTGCTCCTGGAAGTTTTTGCTGCAGAGGGGCAGGAGCTGTTTTACCAGTCACTAAGGAAAGCCAGGGAGTTTTTGCCCAGCCAGAGGACAGGGCTGACGAGTGTGAAGCTCTCCCAGCTCCTTTTAACCTTGATTAATGGCTTCCTGAGATAATATTTGGGATGTAAAGGGCAGGCTGGCAGTAATATCCAATCTGTCAGCGCTTCTCCAGCTCCTCCAGACTCCAGGGAGCTTGTTGGGTTGGGGAAGTGGTTCTGCTGCTCCGGGGGAGAAACATTGTGTGGCAGATGCCCTTCCCCATGGAAAAGGCATCCAGTGGAGGGGGTGCCAGATGAGACATTTCAACTCAAACGTTTCCTGTGCCCTCGTGCCTGGTATTTCCCGTTATGGGGGTGGCTCAAGCCATGGATTAGCTGGCATTTCCCATTGTGGGGGTGGCTCGAGCCATGGAGTGCTGAAGGTCAGGCACAGGGAGTCAGGTAGGACTGAGGTCACCTCCTTATCCCTGGAAATCATGGAGCCCCCCATCCCTGGGAGTGTTCAAGCCAGGTTGGATAGGGCTTAGAGCGACCTGCTCTAGTGGAAGGTGTCCAGAGGGTGGGATGAGATGAGTTTTAAGTCCCTTCCAACCCAAACCATTCTGGAATTCCACGAGCCGGTTAAATCCTTCCTCGATCCTTTCCGCTGCCGCGTCCAAAGCCCGCTGAGGAGCAGCTTTCAGGGAGCTGTTGGCCCGTGTCAGAGTGTCCCTGGCCATCCCTGGTGGAGCACTAACCCTGCACTAATGCCCTGGAGCCCTGCTGACGTTGGTTTGTGTGTCTGGCTGTTGTTGTTCCCATGCAGTGCTGAAGACGGTGCCGTTCACCGCCCGGAGCGCCAAGCGCGGCTCTCGGTTCTTCTGCGACCCCGTTGTCACGGAGGAATTCCATTACTAAACTATTCCTCTCTCACACCTGACGCTCTTAGAAAACAGGAAGGTGGCTGTAGATTTGTTGTCCCTCCCCCCCCTTTGTGCAGATCTCAGCCAGGACATGTGAATGTTGAGTGTTTAGTGGTGTCCGGCGTCACCCGACGTTCTCGTGGTGTCACCTCCGTTGCACGTCCCGTGTCTCCATAACTTCTCGTTCCATCCCATCGACTTCTGGCCATCCCTGTGTTCCAGTGCCATAGAACAGCAAGTGGTGGCAGTCACTGGGGCGAGTTTCCTGCAGTCCAAGGGCTGAGGAGACCAAATGAAGCCAAGAAGTGACGTTCACTTGGCTTTTCTATGTCACCCCCGTGGCCCGCACACCTTTGTGTGCCGTGCATGTGATGCCTCGGCGGAATTCCGGGCTGCATGGACTAGGGGGACATCCCTGGGGGTGGCTTCTGGCTGGGGAGGGCTGCCTGGGCTAACACCCGTGGTTGGGGTTAGATTCCTAACCAGCTCCTGCATGTTGGCTGCACGTGAGACACGAGGTGGAACCGGCGGGGGGAAATCTCTGCTCATGGGTCACATCCACGTTTAACCCCTTCAGTTCCACGTCAGCTTTGTTTAAGGAAAATCAGGAATCTTCCCTGAGCATGAACCAGTTCAGCTGGACTGTGCAGTGCTGGGACTGGGGGAAAGAGGAGCAGGGCTGGGGAAACACTTAAATATGGGCCAGAACCACTGAGATGCTGCCGCTGAAAAGGCTGACGTGGAACTGAGCGATTCCCACCGTGGTGTCCATGTAGGAAGGGTGTCTCTAACCCTGCATGTCTCAGCACTGTTGTCTTGCATTAAGGCCCCAGCAGCTTAAGAAGCCAACAGTGTTTCCCCCTTCCCTGTGTACTTTAATTAATGCTGCAATAAATCCAACTAATCACTCGACGGGTCTTTGCTCTCCGAGTCCGCTGCCGTGTTCTCTTCCTGGAGCCAGCCTTCAAAGCAGCTTGGAATTGGGGTGGGGAGAGGCCAGGAGGCCTCCTGTCCCTCCTGCCCCTGTCTAACCCCTCACAGCCTTGGCCTCACCCTCTTGCTCTGTGGTCACCCCGCCTGGGAGGTTTGAACTTTGCTGACTTGACTTGCTCTTCATTTTCCATCCCATTTTTTTACTTAACCATCATTTTGTGTTCTGTTTTGTTTTTGTTTGTTTTTTTTTTTGTTTTGTTTTTTTTTTCTGTTTAGCCCTAAAGAAGAATAATATCACTAAATTTCCCAATGTTCACTCGAGGGTAAGGATTTCTTCTAGCACCCCGGTGGTGGAGGATACCCAGAGCTGGCAAGCATCACTTTTTACTTGGCTTCCTCCTCTCTCTGTCTGCCAGGAGCTGGTGGTAGATGTGGCTGAGCTAATACTGGTGAGACCCTCCAGGCCTGTGGAGACCCAGATCCTTGATTTTCACCCTTGGAGGTGCAGGGGATCCACAGGCCGTTGGCTGGTGACCATCTTCACACCATTTTGGCCATTTCTCTTCAAGTTCAGCCCAAAATAGTCTTGTCCTCGGGTTTTGTAGCCCCACAGCTCCCTGGAGGTTCTGCTGCCCCCAGACCACAAAATAGGGGATGAGGTGCTCAACCAGCAGCTCCAGGGGCAGAGCTGAGAAGTTGGGGAGTTGTGTGTGACCCTGACACGATTATCCAGGAAATCTGAGGGAGGGTTTGCCCAATCCAACACAAATTTGTTGGCCAGCAGAGAAATATTTTATCTGGAATAGTCTTCAGGGCCTCCATGTGCTGGTTGTGTTGTGGTTGCACAGGTAACACACGTGGCACATGGAATGGGCTTCATCAAGGCATCCATCAGCCCATCAGTTTTCCCATTCTTCCTTCCATCCATCCATCCATCCACCATCCATCCATCCATCCATCCATCCCTCCCTCCCATGCTCAGTGTTCCCTCCTGAGCTCTCACCTCCCCAGCAGTGGGGTGGGCTGGGCTGGGCTTTGCTGCAGGTGAGGAGGATGAGGATGAGGAGGGAGGGGTTTGGCCACTCCACACCCTTTGGCTGAGGAAGCTTTGCTCCAGCCACAGGGCAGGACAGCAGCTGGAGCATCCCAAGCACCAGCTGCTTTTCCCACCTTTAAATCTGGTTGGACTTGATCTAAGAGATCTTTGCCAACCTGAATGATTCCACGATAAATGGGGATACAGGGACCAGAGCTCCATCCCGCTGTGGCCAAGCACGTCCCACGGGACTGTGGGTTGCACATCTCCCTCATCCCGCTGTGGGAATGAGGGGGGCTCTGGAAGACTGGGGCACACATCAACCCCCCCATTTGGGGTGATGGTGCCTCTCTGATGGATGTTCCCACCCCACCTGGTCCCACCCGGTCCCACCAGTATTACCCCGCTGCTTGGGCGCGTAGTCGGGCACGGCAGCCCCCGCTCCCCTCGGGGCCGACCCCCTTCTCTGCCCTCCACAAGCTGCTTTGATTGGCTTCCAGCAGGACTTTCCTTGTCTGGCCTCTCTCTGTGTGTGCGTGTGCGTGTCCGGGGGGGCCGTTTTCCCGGGACGAGCTCACCAGGCCCTTCCCTGCCCGCAGATCTTCGGAACCAGCCGTACCGCCGGGCCGACGCGCTGAGGAGGAGCGTCCGCCGCCGCTTCGACGAGCACGGCCTGCGCCCCAACGGCCCCGACGTGGCCATGTGAGCCCCGGGGGGGCTCCCCGGGGGCCTCGGCCACGGACACTCCGTGCTCGGCGAGCCCCGGGAACGGCCAAACCCACCCGCCGGGCCCGGGGACACTGGGAACGGTGGGAACCGCCCCGGAGCCACCAAGTGCCTGAGATGGAAGGACCTGCTCCAGGGACAGCGCCGGGACCTGGGCTGAGGGACCCGGCCTGAGGGGGGTCCTGGGACACGTCCCGCGGCGTCCGGAACCAAAATGTAAAAATTCCTGCTGGTTTGGGGGGTTGGTTTGGCTGCCTGAGGGCGGAGTTCGGCCACTGGTCTCTCTCCGCTGGTTGGAAACTGGGAATACTGGGATGTGCTCAGCTTTGGAATGCTCGGCTCTGAACTGATCCTGTGCTGGTGCCCAGGGGGTCGGCTGCACTTATGGCTTGGGGTTTGATCACAAAGGAAGACACTGAAGGGCTTTCTGTAGGAATAACGATCCCAGCCCTTTTCCCACCCCGGGCACCTCCGGAGCTGGATGTGGGACCCAACGCATCCACGATCCCAGGGAGAGGAACCAAACGAGGTCACCCCCAGGCCAGGGGGGTTTTGGGGGCCAGGACAGGGAGGGGGAGGCCCGGCCGGCGCTCACAGCTCTGGAGTAACAGCTATTTATTAATTAGCACTAAGCCAATTAACACCTCAGTAATCAGTATTAGGCTCTGGGACCACCTCAGTCCAGTTCCTCAGTGGGGAACCAGCCCAGCCCTGCTCTGTGGGACAATCCCACCCCCATTCCCTGCTGAGGCTCCTTTGGGCACCAAAGCCAAGCCCAGCCTAAAATCCCGGGCAGGTTTGAGGTTCAAAATGGCTTTTTCCAAGCCTAAAAAGGGACAGGAGCCATTTTAGGCCCGTCGTGCACCCCCAGCTCCCGGAGCAGCAGGAGGAGGAATCCAACCCCTTGATCCTCTCAGCTGGGAAGAACTGGACTGAAGAGAGAGATTTGGCCTTTCCAAGACCCCTTTTTTGCTTCCAGCTTCTTCCCTGGGCTCGTCACATCCCCCTGTTAATTGTAAAATTTCTTGTATAGTATTTAACCACGGAATTTCTTGGCCCTTTCCCGTTGTGCTCCCTCCACTGGTGAAGGTCCCTGGAATCTTTTCCCCCCTCGGATAATGTGTAGTTATATGATAATCTGTTTTTAAATGTACAGATATTTTGCTACAAAATTGGTGCAGTTTTTTATGGTTTTTACACTTCTCTTTTATCCCCCCCTCCCCCCCCTTTAGCCTCTGGGTAATATTGTAAATATTGTTTAAAATGAAATAAATGCATCAAGCCTGTGCTATACAATCTGAATGTTATTTTAACTTATAGTTTTTGTTTTTATATTTAACTAAAACGGACAGTTTGGGGCTCAGAGTTACCACGTTGACCTATTTACAGGAATTTTGGACTTTCAAAACTGCCAATTCCTTGCATTTTACAGCACTTGACCCACTAAAGAGAACATGTCACCCCCTCCTTTGCCTCCCTGGCAGTCTCAAGGAGTTGTTTGAATCGGAAGCAATGGGATAATTTTAAATTCAATGTGATAGATTGTTGGTTACAAGCACCAGATCTCCTCTTCTTCGGCTCAAAGGTATTTTTTTAACGAAAGACCCAAAATTCTCCAGGCTGGCATGTTCTCTTTAATATTTTTCTAGTAATAGATCTGCTTCTTAGCAAGATTAGAGTGTTTTATAAAGCAGTTCACGTTCCTTTCCTGGTCTGTTCTGCCATAAAATCCAATAAACTATTTACACTACTACAGCCAAATCCTCACCGGGTTTTTTTGGGGCACTTTTCCCTTTTTTTTTTCCTTTCCCTGCTGGTGATGTTGGACAGGAGAACTCCTGGAGGTTGGGGCAGCTCTGGGGGGATGGACATGGAAATGATTCCCCAGGTGATTTGCAGCATTAATTTATTCTTTGTTACTCTGGGAAAAAGAAATTCCAGATGATCCCAGGAAAAATCCCAAATGACCCAAGGAAAATTACTGATCACGCCAGGGAAAAATGCCAAATCCCCCAGGAAAAATCCCAAACCATCTCAGGAAAAAATTCCAAATGATCCCAGGAAATTATCCCAAATTATCCCGGGAAACATCACAAATCATCTCAGGAAAAATTCCAAATAATCCCAGGAAAAAAATCCCAGATGATCCTGGGAAAAAATCTCAAATTATCCCAGGAAAAAAACCCAAATAATTCCAGGAAAAAAAAATCCCAAATCATTTCAGGAAAAAAAATCTCAAATCACCCCAGGAAAAATCCCCAAATAATTAAAGGGAACATCCCAAATAATCCTGGGAAAAACTCCACATGATCCCAGGAAAAATCCCAAATCATCCCCGGAAAAAAATCCCAAATAACTGCAGAAAAAATCCCAAATCATTCCAGAAAAAAAAATCCAAAAACATCCCACGAAAAATCCCAAATCACCCCAAGAAAAAATCCCAGATGACGCCAAGAAAAATATCAAATCATCCCAGGAAAAAATCCCAGATGATCCCAGGAAAAACCCCCCAAATTATCCCAGGAAAAAATGCCAAATAATCCTGGGAAAAATCCCAGATGATTCCAGGATAATATCCCAAATCATCCCAAGGAAAATCCAAAATCATCCTAGGAAAAATCCCATATCACCCCAGGGAAAATCCCAAAACATCCCAGGAAAAAAAAGATGATCCCAGGAAATAAATCCCAAATCATCCTGGGAAAAATTCCAAATCACCCCAGGAAAAAATCCCAGATGATCCCAGGAAAAAAATCTCAAATCACCCCAGGAAAAATCCCCAAATAATTAAAGGGAACATCCCAAATAATCCTGGGAAAAATCCCAGATGATCCCAGGAAAAAACCCCAAATAATTCCCAGAAAGAATGCCAAATCATTCCAGGAAAAAAATCCCAAATAACTGCAGAAAAAATGCCAAATCATTCCAGGAAAAAACCCCAAATAATTCCCAGAAAGAATGCCAAATCATTACAGAAAAAAAAAATCCCAAATCATCCCAAGAAAAAAAAAATGCCAAATGATGCCAAGAAAAAAAATCTCAAAACATTCCAGGAAAAATCCCAGATGATCCCAGGAAACAATCCCAAACCATCCCAGGAAAAATTCCAAATCATTCCAGGAAAAAAAAAATCCCAAATGACCCCAGGAAAAAAACCCAAATCATTCCATGAAAAAATGCCAAATTATCCCAGGAAAAATCCCAAATCATTCCAGGAAAATTGCCAAATAATCCTGGGAAAAATCCCAGATGATCCCAGGAAAAACCCCAGGTCCTCCCACGATAGTATCCCAAATCATCCCAAGGAAAATCCAAAATCATCCAAGGAAAAAACCCAGATGATTTCAGGAAAAAAATCCCAAATCATCCCAGGAAAAAAACCCAAATAATTAAAGGAAACATCCCAAATAATCCTGGGAAAAATGCCACATGATCCAAGGAAAAATCCCAAATCACCCCAGGAAAAAAACCCCAAATAATTCCAGGAAAAAATGCCAAATCATTCCAAGAAAAAAATCCCAAATCATCCCAGGAAAAAATATCCCAGGAAAAATCCCAAATCACCCCAGGAAAAAAAAAAAAACAAAACCAGATAATGCCAAGAAAAAATCCCAGATGATCCCAGGAAAAAAATCCCAAATCAATCCAGGAAAAATTCCAAATCATCCTGGTGAAAAAAGTCCCAGATGTTCCCAGGAAACAATCCCAAATCATCCCAGGGAAAAAACCCAAATCATTCCAGGAAAAAACCCTAAATCATTCCAGGAAAAATCTTCCAAATCATCCCGGGAGAAAAATTCCCAGATGATCCCAGGAAAAAATCTCAAACAATCCCAGGAAAAAATTCCAAATAATTAAATAAAACATCCCAAATAATCCTGGGAAAAAAACCCAGATGATCCCAGGAAAAATCCCAAATCACCTCAGGAAAAAAATCCCAGATGATCCCAGGAAAAAACTCCAAATCATTCCAGAAAAAAAATACCAAATCACCCCAAGAAAAAAAAAATCCCAGATGATGCCAAGAAAAAACTCTCAAAACATTCCAGGAAAAATCCCAGATGATCCCAGGAAAAATTCCAAATCCAAAACCCCAAATATTTCCAGGAAAAAACCCCAAATAATTCCAGGAAACAATCCCAAATCATTCCAGGAAAAAACTTCCAAATCATCCCAAGAAAAAAAATCCCAGATGATCCCAGGAAAAAAAATCCCAAATCACCCCAGGAAAAATGCCCAAATAATTAAAGGAAACATCCTAAATAATCCCGGGAAAAATCCCACATGATCCCAGGAAAAAAACCCAAATAATTCCCAGAAAGAATACCAAATCATTCCAGGAAAAAAAATCCCAAATCATCCCAAGAAAAAAAAAAAAAAACCAGATGATGCCAAGAAAAAAAATCTCAAAACATTCCAGGAAAAATCCCAGATGATCCCAGGAAAAAAACCCCAAATCACCCCAGGAAAAAAAATCCAAATAATTAAAGGAAACATCCCAAATAATCCTGGGAAAAATCCCACATGATCCCAGGAAAAACCCCAGGTCCTCCCAGGATAATGTCCCATATCATCCCAAGGAAAATCCCAAATCATCCCAGGAAAAATCCTAAATCACTCCAGGAAAATTCCAAATCATCCCAGGAAAAAACCCCAAATCATTCCAGGAAAAAACCCAGATGATCCCAGGAAAAATACGAAATAATTCCAAGAAAAAAAATCCCAAATCATCCCAGGAAAAAAACCCAAATAATTAAAGGAAGCATCCCAAATAATCCTGGGAAAAAAAGCCACATGATCCCAGGAAAAATCCCAAATCATCCCAGGAAAAAAAATCCCAAACAATTCCAGGAAAAAATGCCAAACCATTCCAGGAAAAAAAATCCCAAATCATCCCAGGAAAAATCCCAAATAATTCCAGGAAACATCCCAAATAATCCTGGGAAAAACCGCACATGATCCCAGGAAAAATCCTAAATCACCCCAGGAAAAAAAAAATCCCAGATAATGCCAAGAAAAAATCCCAGATGATCCCAGGAAAAAAA